TCATGACTTTTTTACTTAAAAAATCAGATAATAAATAAACACTTCTTTAAAGCCTGATGAAGATACAACAAACAATATGGATAAATCAACTATCGGATATGTAAGAGGTTGATTTCTAAGTTGTAAAAAATGTTGAAAATGAGGTATTGAATTTAGGTATTTGTGAGGCACTATTATTGACAGAAAAAAGTATGATTACATCAAAAATAATTACCTATCTTTGAAAAAGTTTGAAAGAGCACATATTAGCGTTCTTTACCCATAGAAATAAGACGAAAACGTAAAATTTAAAACTTTTTTTATTAACAGGTATATTGTACGAGGGTGTATAATACATATATATATTTTTAATTTATATAGTATAACAGAATTGGTAATGGACAATGCAACAATGAAACATATAGTGATATTTGATCCACATATTGCATTCTTGTATCTATATATAAAAGTCCCACTCTAACTCTAATACTCTAATTTACTCATTTTTCTACTCGCATTCTTTCCAAGTATCCCAGTTAACTATTAACACTTTATCTGCAACCAATTCTTCTTGAACTTGTACTTGCTGATTATAGGCTTCTAACACATCTTCTGGTACTGCCTCTTCTTCCACCCACATAGTCTCACTACTTTCGTTACTGACTAAGAATTCACCATGACGATAGTTGTGAACATACACCACTAGGAATTCTTGAGTATCCAAAGCAGCCTCTACAGATAAATTAGATTCCTTACGCGAACATTTTCTAGTATAGTTTTTAAAGTTCTTTTTAAAGCAAAGTACCAATTACAGTAAGAACAAATGTATTTATTGATCGATTTATTGACAGTTGGGCAATACCAATCAAAAGGAAGGTATCATAGGTTCATATCTGGAGAAGTTAGTTTTCTTTCCATTGATACAGATAAAAGAAGAGAGCTAAAGTGGGTTGTATCGTCAAATTCATTTATCTTTGCCACGCAAATATTATAGGGCGTTTGCTGAACTACAAATAGCGGAGAAAAAAACCAATTCGGGAGAATTTGTCTGATCCCACTATGAAAAGGCTTGGATCATCACATTTCACAACTTGGGTAACATAACGACAAGTCATTACATGTTTCTCAATCCAAGTTGCTGACTTTTCACTTGGGCTATAATGTTTATTAGGAGAATCTATATACTTAACAAGAACTGGGTAGTTATTTATAATTGTATCTTCCCATATTGATGTTAAAATATCTGCAGCTGCTTTAAAATTATGCTTTTCTAACTCTTCATCATTTGTTTTTAGCTATGCATCTAAATGTGATTCAAATGTATCATACGGAAGTATGACGCCAGCTAAGTCATGACTTAAAGGTGCCATTCGCCTTTCGACCAGATTAGATGCACTCTGGTGTGGTGCAAAGCATACCACAATTATGGTATCAAGATTATATTTATCAAAATGTTCGATCATCATTTGAATTGTTTTTCTATATCTAGAGTTCTCATTGGGACCACCGTCACTTATCAGCACCACTACAGGTTTAGGCTGTTTGTTTGTTGTAGTGTAGTTATGCAATTTCTCCTCATTTATCAAGTCATCAAAATCTTTACCATGAGAATAAGCAGTACTGCTATCGTGTTTACCACTATGGATCCTTATAAATGTTAGACCCGAATATGTTACTGCTTCAGCTTGCCCATACTTACCTCTTGTACATCCAATATTGCATAAACTGAAGGAATCAGTTTATGTCTTTTAGCAACAACCCAATTGTGATCCGGTAGTTCTACTCAGTATTCCAGCCTCATAAGAATCAGTGCTATATGATTTAATTAATTATGAAGTTTTATCTTTTTATTTATTATATTTTAAATAGTAATTCTATTTTATTTTAATTTATAACAACCTTGTTTGTTGGCCGCGGCTAAACCAAGAGGTATTTGTGCTTTATTATTTTGAGAGATTACTAAAGCATTCTTGGAACCTAATAACAATACCATTTCTTTTATATTTCTTATCAAAGCAGCGCAAAAATGAGTATCTTCATGACTTCTTCTTGCTGTGTTTTGCGATCTTAGAAGCTTTACTGGCACAGTTTTAACATGTCGCTTTCCTTCTTCAGTACTATACCATTTTGGAATAAGCCTAAGATACGCTGCAGAACGTGACAAGTTATAGTTCATACATGTTAATACTTCTTGGAGCTGATCTAAAGTCTTAACAGACTATACGATTTCTGAACGCCGTCTTTCATTAGCCTGCCTATCCGGAAAAACAATTTGAACAATAGCTTCTAATAAACCTGGCTGTTGTTCTTCTAAACTTGGGTGACCAGTTGGCCTAACAAGCTGCGTATTGAGATCTGCTTCTTTAAGCTGTCTTTCTATTAGCTGAAGCTTCTGTTTTTTCTGGTCTTTATACTTTTGCTGAGACTGTTTGTGATATTCTAATTTATGCAAAGCTTTTGATGATAATCTAATTTCATATTGAATC